ACTTACTTTATGTGAATTCCTTGTGCTTGCTCTGGTTCTTTTTGTCCTTTTATTGCTATCTGATTGTACTGTACTCTTACTATTTTCCTATGCTAAGTTGCCCACCAAGATCTTAATAAAAGTTTTTAACTTTATTCTTGTATGGTGAAAGGCATTTCTCTGGAAATAGTTAAAGGGTTTTTGGCATCATCAAAAAGGGGGAAATTGTAAGGAATAAATGTAATTAGATTTTGATGATGCTAGGTTGATTAGTGTTTGAAAGTACCCCAATAGAAATCTTGTATTAGAATTTGTCTTTGTATGTACTAGAATAGTCGACATGCCGGAAACTCTCTTGGTCTTCCTTATCAGAACTTCTACCAGAGTTGCTCCCAGAGTTGCTCTCCAGAGAAGCCATCAGAGTTGGATACCAGTGTTGGCATCAGAAGCTGCCATCAGAGTTCTGATCAGAAAACCTCATCAGACAAGCTCGCACCTTGCAGAACTCGAAGGCACTTACCAACGGTCGTTAAACTAACGGGAAATCCCCTAACGGCTACGAACCTTTCAACGGGAACATGGTACTGTACACGCATTAAATGCTCAATTAATGTTCTACGTACGAAGATATATTTAAAGTTGATGATTGACCATGCGAGTATCTTCGCGCCCCCAAAATAGCAAGTCGAAAGTCCAACCGGTCAAGTCAACAGTACAGGCATTTAATGAAGTTGTCTTCTACACTCCAACGGGAAGACTGCTCCCAGTATATAAGATACACTCTGAAGAACTACTAGGATAACTTTGCTACAACGTTTGCCAGACGAACTTGCTCAGATCATTCTACTCTAAATCAAATACTTCTAAGCTTTCTTGAGATCAAAGACTTACTTACCTCAACAAGAAAAGCTCAAGTTGGAAGATATACTTTCTTATCCCTCATCCAACTAGCAAGTTGCAAAGTTCCTCAGTTCTTCAACACTTCGAAAACTCCATCTACACATCCTTTGTGAAGAAGCAACGTTGGAGAAAACTGATCTTGATTCAAACACTTCTTGAAAAAGAAGGGGCGTCTCAAATTAACTGGAGTAAGTGAAGTGGTGATACTTCCAAGAGACTCAGTGAAACGAGACCAGCCATCAGGAAGCGGGACTGCATCCCGGGTGGCAACTAGGCTTGAAGAAGACGTGGAGAGCTTCTTAAGTTCTAGGGACTAAGGCGTTGTAAACTGTTGTTTTTGCAAGCTTAGTGGAACAGTGGACTAGAGGAACAAGTTGTTCCTTGAACCACTATAAAAATCCCCGGTGTCACTTACTTTACTTATTTCATTTCTGCACTTAAGAACTTGACTGCATAACTCAAAAGGTTGGACTCTGTGTTCAGCAGATCTTCCTCAAGAGTTATCATAAAGGCATTTGCTTTTGTGTTGTCTGAGGCTACCCGGACAGAATCTAATCCGCTGCCAGGTCCAGTTCTGCCATCAGAACTTGACCTTCTCTGTCACCAGATTTCGACCATCTCTGATAAGTCAGTTTTGACTTAGAGAAAAGTTTAAATTCCTGAACAGCCTATTCACCCCCCCTCCCCCCCCCCCCTCTAGACTGTTCCCGTTACAAACGGGACCAACAAGGTCTATCTCACAGGAACCCTCCCCTATGTATATATATATATATATATAGCTCTAGGTATTACTAAAAATTCCATAAAATAGAACTACTACATTTTAAGGGGAATGATCATTGATTTCTACCCTAAATACCTCATTCACAACTTTAAAAAAAAATACCCCATTCACAATGAAATGTTTTAATTCATAATAAAATCTGAAAAAATAATACCAAATCGTAAAAAATATTAAAAAATCGTAAAAAAATATAAAAAAATACATATTATAAAATTAAAAAAATGTTTTTTATTTATTTATTTTTAAAACATTTAATAAAAAGTAGTAAAAAACCATAAAAAAATTAAAAAAATATGGATACCTTTCCCACCGCCTCCAAGAACCACCACCTCCGATTGGTGAAAATTATGCCATTTTTTGTAAAAAAATGTCATTTTTTTCCCGAAAATGCCAAGAAGATGGCATTATTACTCTTCATAATGCCAAAATTCTCATTGAATCTGCCATTATTATGACATTACTAAAAATGTTGGCAAATTTTCAATAGGTGATGGGGGTTGGTGGTGGTGGGGTTGTCAGAGGTGGCAGCATTTTTTTACGTCTTTAATTTTATTTTAATTTCTTAATTTTTTTATAAACAAATTATTTTATAAATATTTTATAATTTTTTTCTACTTTTTTTATTTTTTTATTTTTTTATTATTAATTAGACATTTTAAAAGCTACAAGGGTATATTTGTCCAAACACATAAATAGACCTATTGGGAAGAATTTAAAACATGTAGTCCTATTGGTGCTCTTGGGCCACTTTTTTCCCTATTTAGGTAATTAACTTTTATAGACTTTGTTAGTTTATTCACGTTTAATTCACGTATAACACATTTAAACGTATAATTCACGTATAATACTCCCGTTTGTGAATTTTTTAGAAAATTCTGGAAAATTCACGTACTCTAAGGATAAAATTTATAATACATGTACTGTACGTATTGATACGTATTTTATTAAAAAAGCTATTAAATGGAAGTCTAAAGAAGTGTTACAACTGAAGCGAAATATTTAGTGCCTCAATACTATTTATAATGCTTAAAATATATTATGCTTTACATGTACGTTAATTGTTTATTAGTTATTAGCTTTTAAATTAGTTCTTTAAAGTCATAATCTGTTTCGATTTTACTATTGTATTACTCTTGTCTTCCACATGTACCAAGACTCCAAAGATAAAAGAATATTGTGGCGGCTCACCAAATTCACGGCCACAACAAAATGAACTATTCTCTAGTAATATTTCTATGCTTCTACTCAAATAGACAATGTCTTTTTTATTACTTATTGTACCTGATAGGCACTAGTTGTTAGTGCGTAAGTATACATTTTTATTATTGTTTGTGATGTTGATTTATTATTATTGTGCAAGTTTGTAGTCATTAGTCTCCATTTGATTTTAATTGTATTTCTAGCATTTTATTGTTTGTTGTAAGAAGTAGTTAGCTGAGCTATAAGTTTAGGAGAAGTTTGGAAGCAAAAAGAATAACGGAACCTGAGTTTAGTGCAAAACCCGGCGGGGTATGGCCTTTACCCGGTCGGGTATTTAGTGAAAAACGAAGTTGCTGGGAAAATGCACTAATACGCGGTCGGGTATCCCATATACCCGGTCGGGTAAGAAGTGATTTCGAACAAAAAGACGTGCGGAAGAACACAAAGACGTGCGAAAAAATATGATTTAACAAATACCCCGTTGGGTATCTCAAATACTCGGTTGGGTAGCCGGCATAGTTGATGCTAAACACCTATAAATACCACCATTTTCCTTCACTTTTAATCATCCCTTCTTCCATATACTTACGCTGAACTTAGAATAATACTTTCTTTATATTTTTCTAGCATGTTTAGTCCCCAAATGAGGAGCTAAACTTATATTTCTTGGTTTTGCTCTTGAAGCTTGTTGAATGTTATAGTTGTGAGTTATTTTCTTACTTCTTCCCTTGAATATTAATTCTTCCCTTATTCTATCTCTATATTAATGTTGGGGAGTGTTGCTAAGATGACAATTAGTTAACATCTTGACAATTGACATTAATTACTACTAGAAACGATCAATTAACCGATGGTTAGTCATTGATGGTTTCACAAGTAACTTCGGGTTAGCAATGCACGGTCGTGGTTAATAATCATAAGAGGGATTAATTGTGTTGGTTAAACCGAAACCGTTGTGTTGAGGTTATCAATCTCAATTGATTTCATCAAGGAGTTAAGAGATTAAATGGTACTATCAAGTCAGTATATGACGGTGTTCTATACTTGACTAATAGTAAGAGTTATTAATGAACGGTCGTTGTTAATAACTACCCTCGATGAATTGGAGATACTCCTCGATTGAGTATTCGAGAGGGGATAAGTTATAGATATAACAAGGATCAACAAACATATCAACAAGCGGAAAGTAGCAAAATCAAACCTTTTATCTCATTAATTAAAATCATTAAGTCGTTCATCTTTGTATTAAATTAATTAAATCACTCAATCCCAAAACCCCCCTTTTATTTACTCACTACACAAAAGAAAAGTATTTCCTTTCCCTGTGGATACGAACTCTACTACGCTATACTACGTATAAGTGTTAGTATTGAATTTATTTTGAGGCACATACGACTTCAGTGCCGTCAGTACCTATATATTCAAATTCATATATCTGAAAAACTATTTCGACTATTTTGTATAATTTAAACTGTTGAAGTATGCAACGCATATGTTAAATTATTCTTTATTTCTATAATTAAATTAGTCTATAAGATAACATTGAACGGTACTGTTGGAGTTGAGTTCATAGTTTTTGTCAAGTTCTCTAGATTCAGAGCAACCAGGACCATACAAATTTAGAAAGATAACATTGAACGGTACTGTTGGAGTTGAGTTTTCCATTTTGATGTCCTAGTATCATATTCATACGTAGTATAATAATTCACTAGGTGAGGTCCCCTTGATGAGTTGATTCCCTTGAAGTCAAGAATGAACATCGTCCTTATGGATGGCAACTTTGGCTTTCTAGTGAGCCTAACTTCAAAACATGTCTTATCTTTTACGTAGTAATAAATGTAGTTCCGCCAAAAGTTTAAATCCACTTTGTTACTGTACATGATGTAATATGTTTAATTATATTAAAAGTTTGATTACATTTTAGTTATGTTCATTTTCATTTCATCATTTTCATTTACCCCAGTGCCGCAAAGGCTCCCACCTACGGTGGGGTAAGGAGGGGTCAGATGTACGCAGTCTTACCCCTGTACTAAAGCACAGAGAGACTGTTTCCGGATGACCCGTAGTGAAAATCGCATCCAAGATTGCAGGATTGACTGCTGCTCCATAACAAAGAAGCGCAGACAGTTTAGTGAGCCATTTTGCTTTATTCCATCATAATCTCAAGCCAAAAAATAATGAATCTTTGACTCCATTGCAAATGATGGAAAATACATTTTAGTTATGTTATGAAACAAAATACATGTAGTACGTAGTATGTAGTACCTAGTAGCATAGTATTTTCTTCACCATTTGCAAACTTAATTTAAGAGCAGCCATGATTATTCCATGAGGCGCTCAAAAGTAAACATATGAACACATTAAAGGATCAAGTTGAAATGGTAAACACTAGGGAAAGAAGTGAATCGATCAAATCTAACTCAATGGGTCCCAAATTTATAGTCATCACTGTAATGCACAAGAGGTTGATTCCATTTCGCTGCAAGCCTTCCAATAAGCACTACCTCACTTGATTGCATCTTTCAAACATAGACAGGATGCCCCCAGGAAGGCTAAAAGTGCCAGAATAATGAAAAATGGAAAACTCAAGTTATCTATCTAGAATAGCAAATACTTATACGTAAAAACTAGATAACTTCATGTACAGTGGAGTTGAGCTGTCCGGCCAGGGTCGTCCCAAGGCCAAGCTAATAAAGCTATGGCCACCAGAGTGAAAAAGGCCTCTAAACTCTTAGTTTGTTACCAATAGGCCCCTGCATTCATTAATTGGCTCACATTTTTTAAACTTTACATATAGAAAGCCTTGCAAAATGACTCTCATTTTTGCTCCTTTACTTGCAGCCTTGCCTTAAGATTTAACCATTAATGAAAAAGCTCTCACTTTACAGTAAGCTTTAGGCCTCAACTAGGGTTGGGACGATCCCTGGTTGTTCAAGGAGGGTCGAAATCACTCCAGAATTTAATGGGACTTGCTATGAAGTTATCTAAACCCTCCATGTAGTACCTCCACTGTGGAAAGTTTTTTTAAGGTTATGTTTGGAACTTGGAAAATGGTGTTTTGTGTTTGGTTTTAACACTTTTACCTTGAAAAATATATAAGAAAATCACATTTCATTATCTTTTCATACAAATACAGAGTATTAGATTAGAATTTTTATGCCTTTGTATAATAGACATACTAACAAAAATGAGTTTGAAAAATATTTAAATTCATGTTATTTTTAAAATTTTCCCTTAGGGTCTTTTTGGAACTCAGAATATGATAGAGAAAGAAAACAGGAAGATAGAAGAATTTGAGGGAATAAAAATGTGAGGGGGAGGGGATAAAAAATTGCTTCAGATTCAACAAATCAATTTTGATTTTTTTTTTGTGTAATCATTTTTATTATATGAAGACTAAAAGTAAATATATGTAGAAGTTTTAATCAAATTATGTTCCATCATATTTTTCAAGGTTAAATCAAACATATATAAACCATTTTGTTCCGCGTTCAAAACATAACCTCAAGTTAATTGTACCTAGTTTTGAGCAGATGCAGGTTCTTTTGAGAGGAGTAACTTCATTCTCCTTGCAAGATCCCGCATTACATCTATTATCACAAACTTCTTCTGCATCCTAAACCGGATAGCCAAATCAGTAGTTGCAGAGATGTCTTGTTTCAATAACGACTCATCCTCCACAATTTTTGTAGGAAAGTGTTCGAGAGCAATCACACACAAGGCCACAATGGTACGAAGAGCCGCAACTTCGATTGATGTTCCAAGGGGCGATTCAACTGACAGTGACTTGAGTGTATCCACCCTATGATTTTGAACCGACTCCATGTCGTTTGATAGCAATGCTCTTAATGCAGCCAACATACGTCCCTCAACGAGTTCAGGGCCCCCAAGCCTAAACTATTTTAGCGTGGAATGAAAAATAGAACATCATCACACATACAATTTAGTTTGTTGATATCACAACTTAAAGATGGCAATAGCAAAATAATAGATGAATTGTACTCAGGTAAATTATTAGAAGGGAAAATTACACTTTTAATCTCTCATTTATATTGCATTCTGAAATGTATTCACTGTCTTTTAAATTTTGTAAACGTCGTCCTTTAATTATGACATAAAAAGCACCGGTACACGTTGGCGACATTCCAGAGCGAGGGTCCCAGGCAAGGGCGTATAATGAAGCCTTCCCTTAATTATGAGTTATGACATACTAGTATGTTATAAATTAGTCCTTTGGGTCCCTCAGTCATATTGCCAGTTTAAAATTGTGAAAATTTAATCCCTTGATTGTGCAATATGTTGCAAATGCTGTCACTTAATTTTGCAACATGTTTTTAATATAGTCCCTACCCTTCAATAATGTAAGAACGAAATTTGTTAATTTATTAACAGCGGCCATGGTAGTCAAACTTTCCACCATTTGCAATGGAGCAAAAAACTCACTATTTTTTTTTGTATGGGAATATGATGGAATAAAGCAAAATGACTCACTAAACTGTCTGCGCTTCTTTGTTATGAAGTCGTAGTCGGTCCATGCAATTTTCGACGCGATTTTCACTATGAGTCATCCGGAAACAGTCTCTTTGTGCTTTAATACAAGGGTAAGACTGCGTACATTCAACCCCCTACCCCACCGAAGGTGGGAGCCTTTGCGGCACTATGGTGATGATGATGATGGAGGCATGGTAGTCAAAATTGTGAACCACCTGTGGGATCGTATGAATATACGGTTCCTATTAGCTCTTGTGATCCCGTAAAGTGACTAGGGTCGTTGGGATCGTCGTGTTTAATCACAACACCATACAATTGTAAAAGGAATCATATTCATTCATGTTAGTCGTTGGAAATGTTGAAAAACTTCCAGCTTTTTAGAAATGTCCAAAAAATAATTCTGAAAAGTCGGAAATTGTGGATACTGTGGTGAAACAGGTTCGCAACTTCAAAATTAATGCAAATAAACCCCTGTGGATCCCCCATGGCCTGCGATCTGGCTTATTTCCTCCATCTCCTCATCTTCTGCATCGAGTAGTTGACCCCCAGGTCCCAGGACTTCATATGTTGTTAGATTCTGTGTCAACTTCCAAGTAATTATTTACTAATGTTTTTCATTTTTTATAAGGCAGTAAAAAATCCATAGGAACTCTATCAGTGTAGCAAGTTCCAATATAATATAAAAGCAGTTTATAGGTTTAGTCTCTGTGTTAGATGTCTAGTTGTCTAGCTAGGACTCTTTCTGTTTTGAGTCTTGGATAGCTAAAGTATTATGTATGCTCTAAACATCTTACTATAATTATTATTCATGGAATATATTAAATGTTTACTTAAAACTATGCTTCTTCTTGGGTTGAATGCGCATGGCTTTGGGGAGAGCAAAGTGGAGGAAGAATATTCACGTGGAGGATTGATCTCTTTTCATTTTTTTGATCATTTTATCTTTTTATCTTTCTTATGTTCTTTATCCTTTTTATTTTATAATAGTCTTTTTATCTTACAATTTTTATCTTTATCTTTATCTTTTTTATCATGACATATATTTTTCTTTCTTATCTTTCTTTTCTTTTTGTCTGTGATATCATGTTAGTCGACCCCAATATTGTTTTGCGACTAAGGCTTGGAATCTTTGATGTTGTTGTTGTTGGATATTGTAGGCTCTTAAGACTCGAGTTACGATCCTTGATTTACAACCTTTAGGCCGGTCTCCTTCCAATCCTACGTAAGATCTTGAGTTTGACTACCATGCAGCAGGGACTAGAGTTACAACACATTACACATTTAAAGGACGACATTTGCAAAACGAAAAGAAAGAGGCTACATTTAAATATGAAGAGAAAAACAGTTCAACTAGTCTGGGACGGGATAAAGGATGGAAAGGAAAATGAACCTTATTTCCATCATATTCCTCTCAAAAATGGAAGGAAAACCATTCATGAAAGAATACATTTTAATCTTACTTTGTAATTTTTTCAAATTCATTTAGTGTATGTTATGAATGTTGAAATAGTCATTTGGTAACATTATAACTATATTTCTAACCAAAATCAACTATTCAAATTAATAAAAAATGAATCATTTACATTCCATACCAGGAAAATTACATAAGTAGGACCAAAGCATAGTAGCATATTTATTCAAATAGGAAGAGCATTTCCACACGAATATAGAACGCATTCTGGCTTTCACTCCTACAAAATTAATTATAGATTCCTTTTATTCGTTTTTAGAAGTGAATGAGTTCTATTTTTAGCTGAACTGTTATGTTGAGTACTTTTTATTCACTTCCTTTACTCTCTTTCCTCAAACAAAACACAAGAGGTAATAATAATAAGACTTCAAAATAAAATTTTGTTTTCCCTTCTCATCTTCCTTTCCTATGGAAAATACCCAAATCAGTGTGAGTGAAAATAGCAAGGGCCTAGGCAGAATAAATAAATTTACCTTCAGATCAGAATTTTCACCATCAAGATTTAGGTGGGACAAGATCTCTCGCTGCCAAGGGGTTGGTGAAGAGAAGTTTGGGGAATGAACTCCAGCAGCCATGCTTGCAGCATCAAGAAGAGCAGCATCATACTTAAGCTCAATGCAGTCATAGGGATTTGAGGGTATCACAAATCCATAATCAAGAAGAAAAAGATCATTATTCAGACAACCATAGTTAAGTTCTAACTCATCATCTTGTTTTATGTTTTCTGCAGCAATCAACTGTAAAGGAAACACCAATGATAAAGTGTACTATAATAATAGTTAGAAGAGGAAACACATTAATACTTTGCTTGTTTTGTTTAGATAGATTTTGGGATGAGAGCAGTGTGAAAGAAATAAGGATGCTTTTACTTGGATTGTAACTTGCTGGTCTGGTCTGGTCTTGTCTGTTTAGGTCTGGTTTGATAAACATCTGATCTCTGTGTATTTTATAACTACGAAAGTCAAGTCTAGTCTGTTTAAGTCTGGTCTGGTCTGTTTAAGTCTGGTCTGGTCTGTTTAAGTCTTATTTGGTCTGGGACTGAAAACAGTCCAAGTAAAAACATCCTAAGTGGGAAAGAATTTCTTTAGTTGTTCAGACTTCGGATGAAGAGAAAAGTGGGAGGGGGAGAATTTATTTACTTGTTAGGATGATGAAAAAAATGTCCATCGTTTCCAATGGAGCCAAAAATTCATTATTTATTTGGCTTGGGATTATGATGCAATAAAGCAAAATGGTTCACTAAATTGTTTGCACTTCTTTGTTATGAAGCAACAGTCAACTCATGCAATTTTCGACGCGATTTTCATCATGGGTCATTTGCAAACAGACTCATTGTGAGTTTGTGCTTAAGTACAGGGATAAGGCCACATATATCTGACCCCCCAGCCCCCCTTACCCCACCATAGGTGGGGAGCCTTTGCGGCACTAGGGTAATGTTGTTGCGATGATGAAAAAAATGGGGGAGAGAAAATTATGGTCCACAAAATGGCAGGACCCGCAAAAAAGTGGAGCCACAAAAAGTAGTGAGTAATAATAGTTTAAATGAGACACTTTACCTTTTATTATATAGGATAAAATAAAGGATGAATGCTTTTACATCAGTCATTTTTCATTTCAGTTTTACCCATTGTCCCTTCAATTTTCTCCTCCTTATTTTCATACTTATTCTTCCCTGTTTCTGTCCTAAACCCAACCAAACAAAAACTTGATAGAAAATCTTGGCAAATCCATTATAACTATGCAAACAATTATATTCGATCAATACCTTTACAAACATTTTTCCATCACCTGCTTCATGTTCTTGTACAATTTCAGCATTTGGACTGAAGCTGTGGTTACACATGTCAATTAATGGGAGCATCATCGGAACATCTTTATGGGTCCCATCGAGACATTTTCCACCATACAAACGGAAGGCACGAGATGAAACAGCTGACATAGCCCATCCAAGTGCTGATGAATCCACAAGTTGGTCTTCAAAAGGGTGATTGTCTTGCTTTACATGACCAAGCTCTTGTTTTACAATTCTCTCAAATTCTAGAAGAAACCGACATCTCTTGTTTACCTGGTGCATTATAAACAGTGTTGTCAATCCCAGATAGTGGAGCGTTGCGGCCAGCCCTCAAAGCGCAATAGCGGTACAGCGGATAGCGGGATGACCGCTATTCAGAGAATATGTATGCAAAATACATATGATATGTATGCATATAATTACATTGTATACACATCAAATTATAAATCATGATTGATGCTGTTAATACTTAAATAACAACTCAAGTCTAAACAATAAACAGAAGATGTTACTTAGAAGAAGAAAAGAAGAGGAGTGCAGCACAGGTAGTTCTCGTAGAGGATGAAGGAGAAAATATACTCAAAAGAAGCAAATAGGAGGAGTGTAGCAGATGTCGTTCTTGTAGGAGATGAACCTGCAAAGGTCATTCACTTGTTCTTGAAGAAGAGAACCAGATAATTGTCATCGTCTCAGGTGTGAGTCGCAACACTAGTGCGTAAAAGGTTTTTACAGTGGTTACTATATATTTTCAAAAGTCTGCTTTACCCTTAATACCTCCGAAAACAAAACTTAGCCAAGATAAAACCAAACTGCAGCAAACAAAAGCAAATAGTGCCGCTATAGCGTCCGCTACTCCCGCTATAGCGGCCACTACTCCTGCTAGAGTCAAACGCAACGCTACAGGTGTTCTTGTAGCGCTCAAACCTTCCTCCGCTCCGTTATACCGCCGCTATAGCACCGCTATAGCGCGCTATTGACAACACAGATTATAAATCCCAGCATAACCACATGACAGAAAAATTATTCACAACACCCCATAAGTAAAAGCAATTAGTAACTATCAATCTCATCTTTTGCGGTTTCCCCCTGATGGGCACAAAATACTGCAAGTCAAATTTTAGCATATGAAGATAAACTATTGGAAATTTTAATTTAATTTAATTTAATTTTCAACCATGTCACTTTCTTATTTATTCTTACTTAATATGATTTTTTAAAATATTAATATTCTAGTACATCCAGGTGCTTTTTAACATGACACTGCTGATTCTTTTTCAATTTCTCATTTCCTCAATCCAAGTAATTAAACATTAAACTGCATATGGACACAAGGTGATCCAAACACATCTTAGTAGTTCTGAAGAAAAAATGCAATAGCACCAGTTTCTCCATTGTCTTCCATTTTGCCAAGGTTGCTCTAAATGACAGAAGATGTGTCTTCCCTCACAGCGAATAAGCTCAGAGGGTTACCATGTATCATCACAACATGTGGCCACTGAGCAGAAATTTCAATTTAATAGCATCTCTAATCGGGATGTGAATTGTATAGCATAAAAATTGGCAGATCACTACATTAACAGGCTATTGACCAGATGTAATATGGCGCCATTTTTTATGTGGGTTTCTATTAACGCAAAAACATCATTAGAGAGAAAAATGATTTGTGATGTAAGACTGTTGGAGAGGCTTTTCTAAAGCAGAGACTCAATTTTAAAGAGTGGAACTTGTTAAACTCTGACTCAGCACCAGAATTAATATAGACATTTGCATTGGAGAGGACATTTGTCACCTCAGTCTCTCTTTTTCTTATGTGGCAGAGCATATTGAACCATCTATTCCCCATTAGAGATGCTATCAAGGGATAGATCAGTCGAATAGTCCCTATTACATTATCTATGTCCAATTTTAAATTCATCAAGTCTATGTTTGGATTTTGGAACATGAAAATGGTAGAGGAAGGGGGGTGATAGAGACCCTGACAGGGGAGCAAGAGGACTAATAATAATAATCATAATAATATCAAATACGTTGAAAAAAATGTATAGAAGAAAGGGAACCGGGAGGTGTAACTAACTAGATGTGATAGGCATCTCATGCTAGGGGGGGAGACTATTACTACAAACAGCAAGGAGAGAGAAGGGAGGCTGGGATTTGGATAGATTCGTTAGGCCTTGGGAGAGAGAGAGACTCTCTCCAAATTGTCTCGATTTGAATAGATTTGATTTATTGGTTCTGCCATTGTATTTGCTTAAGGAATTCTGAGATCTTCCCTGAATTCCATACTTAATATAAACTAGTTCTCTTATTGCTTATCTGGTTCCTATTATTGGTATCAGAGCACCGATTCTGGAGGAATCAGATTCAGGTGAGTCCAGTGAAGGCCAGTCACCCGATCAAAAATGGAGAGATGACTGGAAAATGTGGAGGGAAACGTCAACGACATGCAAGCAACGATTGAAGAGCTGCGAATATCATTGTCCAGCAGGAGCGACGGCGATCGCGAGGAAGATCCAAAACTCTGAGGCACAAACAACAGACTGAGAGTCAAGAATCATCCGCTTCCAGAGCCATAGACCACGTTGAATCAGAAAATGGATTGCTAGGAACTCCGCCACTGACACTGAATCCTGAGTTGAAGCCGGCTGCACCATCAGTCCCGGATCCAGACGATAATAATACTCAACCTACGGGATCTCCATTCTCCATTCTTAATTCCATGCTGCCTCTACCCTATCTAAAGGTTGGATATCTAGCTGCCCCACCTGCTGCCTGCTGGAAATCCACTTGCACCACATAATGATTGGAAGCGTTCTCAATTTGTCCTGAATCGTGAGGGGCTACACCAGATCAGTACGGTTGAGCAAAGACGGAACCTCTCCTCGAAGCCTGGAAATAGCACGACTTCAAGCAGCCAAGCTATCAAAGTTGACATGCCTGATATTGTCTCCTCTGCGTTGATACAGTTCATGGACCTGTCAGTCCTGTCTACGTGACTACTGATTCATGGGAATCATTGGATTGGTGGCTTGATGCAATACGTCTAGCTTACACGATTTACGCTCGAGGCAAGAGTGAAAACCAGAAGTTGAGCTCCAGATTCATTGGGCCTTTTGAGGTGACTGAGAAGGTGAACCCAGTAGCATTCAGATTGAAGCTGCCAGAAGGATGTGCTGCTATTCATCCAGTGTTTCACATATCACTTTTAAAGAAGTCAGTGGCCCCTAACACACCTTGCCAACCCTTGTCTCAGAAGAGTGGGAGCTACAGGCTACACCAGAAAAGATTCTGGGAACCAGAATGAGTCCAACATGTGACAAGGAACTACTAGTACATTGGAGGCAGTTACCAGATTTTGAAGACTCGTGGGAATCTGTAAGTAAATTCAAGGAGCAGTTTTCAGCATTCCACCTTGAGGACAAGGTGGAAGTTCAAGAGGGTAGTGATGATACAGACCCGGAATTGTAACTAACTCGATGAGATGGGCATCTCATGCTAGGGGGGAGACTATTAAAACAAACAGAAAGGAGAGAGAAGGGAGGTTGGGATTAGGATAGATTTGTTGGGCCTTGGGAGAGAGACACTCCCGAGATTGTCTTTATCTTCTTTGTACGCTGGTTTATTGATTCTGCCATTGTATTTGCTCAAGGAATTCTGAGATCTTCTCTGTCCATACTTAATATACATAAGTTCTCTTATTGCGTGTCTGGTTCCTATTAATCATAATAATATCAAATACTTTGAGAAAATGTATAGAAGAAAATGAACCAGGAATTGTAACTAACTAGATGAGATGGACATCTCATGCTAGGGGGGAAGACTGTTAATACAAAGAGAAAGGTGAGAGAAGGGAGGCTGGGATTTGGATCGATTTATTGGGCCTTGGGAGAGAGAGAGACTCTCGAAATTGCCTCTATCTTTTTTCTACACTGGTTTATTATTCTTCCATTGTATTTGCTTTTGGAATCCTGAGATCTTCTCTGAATTCATGCTTAATATACATAAATTCTCTTATTGCGTGTCTGGTTTCTATCAGGGGGAAATGGTAAGGGAAATATGGAGTATAATTTTTTAATGTTTAGGGGGATTTGGTAAGGGAAATACGGAGTATATTTTTTAAATGTTTAGCTGAACACAAGAAAATATGAATGGAATTCAGCTAAATTTAGAAAGCATGTAGCAGGGAAAAGAAAAAATAAGGCTAATGAAAATTGTTTTAAAAAGTTTGGGTTCAACTTCGAAAGTCAAAATAAAATGATTAAAACTTTTTGTAGTAGTCCATATATTGTCATGTCCCAGCCTTTATAAAATAGAAATATATGAACAAATGTGTTTGAACTTTGAACAAAACTCAAATTGATTGATTGAGTTTGAAGCATTTTTTAAATATCTTCACAAACTCTGTTCTCTTATACATTTTCCTTCTTTATCCTCCATATTTCTTTCCCTAGCATTTTGTGAGTACCAACCTATTCTATATCTGTTCAAATTTTACTAATTTTTATTAGTATTTAGCCTTTAACTCTTGTTCACCCACACACATAATGAGTTTGAATAGATAGCTTTTTCAAATTTTCCTCCCTAACATTTTCCAGGTCTGAAAAATACCCTGACCATAAGTTCACCTAGAGTCCTGAAAATACCTGATAAAGAAGAGGGGCATACTGCAAGTTCTTTATATCTTCTCCAGGAAAGAATATAGGCACACCATAGGTCTCTGGAAGATTAGAGATGTATGGCCACCAAAAGGACCCTTTCCTAGCTCTTTCTTGCAGGAGCTTCAAACCCAATTTCATAGCCCATAGCTCCTCTGCCAAATGCTTTACTTATATTCAAAACTCAAAATCCTATTTGCAATGATTTGAGTTACAAACTAAACTAAAATATAATTACCTACCAAAGTACCATACATACTGATAAAGAAAGTACATGCATAGACCACATAGGAATGAATGTGAAAATTAATTGGATCAAACTAGAAAATACATACTATAAATTTCAATACACATCACAATCCCCTTGATATTTGATCAAACTTTAAAGAGTAATACTAGTATAGTACAGGCCTACATGTAGTCATGTACTATGGAGATAAAAAGGATTTCCTAAAATCTGAATGATTGTTAGTTATAACTTATAACAGAGCATCTGTTAAGAAAGTTTAAACTTCCCTTAGAATTTAGAAGGCATGATGGCTAATTGGCTATTCTTATTATTTGGACCTAGAAAACGTTTAGACAAATTGCTTTAATTCAGGAAAAGTTTTCCGGCCAACTAGAAGTCTTCTTCGTGTTCAAATTTAATCAGATAGGCATATTTGGTTGAGGGATTTAGAGTGTACCAATAATAATGATAGACATTCTAGTAATGCTTAGTTGGGAATTGAACTATTGAACGATGCAGAAATCCCTTTGAATCGTTTCAAAATTTACCAATCATTATAATTAGTTTATTCACCTTCGATTTTTCCTTTTATGGAACAAAAGGATAAATATTTGAGCATAGTATCTCTTTCTAGTCCAACCCACACCCAACATTATTAAATAATAAAATGTATCGAAACAAAATTTTGATACTGAACAAATTTCAAATACAAACGAACAGATAGCATGAAAGAAAGAAAAAGATACCAGGGATTTGTTGAGCCAGTTTGGACATTGTAGTATCAGATTCCACCGGTCCAAACTGTAGCGGGAGGTTCTCTGGGAGGGAAATTAGGCCAGAGCCTTTGGGTATATCTTCAGAAACAACCAGCCCGAGCCCATTTCTCTCTAAGTTTGCTATCCTCAGAGACGGGTGGACGAATCCACCTTCTCTCCTGATCCACTTGACGAGGTCCGGCGGGTGCGGGACTAACCGGGAAGAATAGATGGTGGGGGAGCTGATAAAAGGGCGAGCGTGGGTGAGCGAGCTAGCCATTCGGATCGTCATCTGGGTGGACATGTTTAACTCAGAGCGACTCTCTTATGGGTAGTGACGCGGGTAGGGGGTAGGAGGTTGAGGGTGACTGAGTGATGGGGTCGGGGTACGAGCGTGGGTGAGCGAGCTAGCCATTCGCATCCTCATCTGCGTGGACATTTTTAGGAAAGTAGAATTTTTTGTTTTGATTTTAGAAAAGTGGATAAAGGATAGTGAGAAAGAAAATGAGTGTAAAGTACGGAGTAGGTAATAAGTAAGAATATAAGAGTAATTTTATATTAAAAAGTTGTCAAAATTAGAAATGTGAAGTTTATATTGGACCTACTCAAAAAGGAAAGTATGAAGTCGTTTTAGGATCGAAGGGAGTAATATAAGTTAAGGAAGAGTTTACTTCCACGAGGTATATTTGAAACTTACTACCTCCGTCCCACTATGTGTGGGACAAGAGAATGTGGCACCACATTCAAGAAAAAGTGGAATTATATACTCCCTTCGGTCCTTAATTAACTTTACACTTTCCTTTTTGGGTCGTTCCATATTAAACTTTACACTTCCTTATTTGCTTTATTTGGCAAACAAATCTACACCAAACAGTGCAAAACAGTGTCAAACAGTGCCAAACAGTGTACTCTACAGTAAAGTCAAATTTATTTCCTTAATATGTGTGAAATCAAAGTGTAAACTTCATTAAGGACCGGAGGGAGTAGTTGATATTGAATTGATAAAGTGTTAATAAAGTAAGAATGAATTGTAATTACCCAAATTTTACCAAATATGTTAATATGGTACATGACAAACTTAATGAGACAAACAAAAAGGTAAACGAGACATAGTTAGGGAGACGCACGGAGTATTTTCTAGAGTACTTTTAAATTTATTTCGTCCAATTTAAATGTTAATTTTAAAAGTGGTACTTAACCAGGTGTTCTCTTTTTTACATATTTGAATAGCATCGTTTTAAAAGCCTGTCTGATAAGCTTGTGTTTTGGCTTATCAAACCTATCAGCCAACTTTTTCATCAAACACGTACGTTTTGATTGTGCGCGCGAATTATGTAATAATAAGAAAAGGTAATGTTAGAGTTACTTTTTTTACTGTATTGGCTGAAGTTACTATAGAGAGTCATTTTAGCTATTTTTCAATTAAAATTTTGTATTATTTTATTAGTAGAAAATATTTTAAATATAATTTTTTCATAAAGCAGCAAAATCAATCGATCCAGCAACTTTAGTCAGAAGTTCATAAATTTCATCAAAATAAGCCGATTCTGCTCGTTTCAGTTTGACCAAACGGGCTCTATGTTCAAGGTTGAGCTAGCCTAATTGTGCTCGGTACCAAGAATTTTTCTTATGTTATTTAATTTTTTTATATTATTTAATAAAAAATCTTAGATAAAATTTTACACAATTGCTTTCACATTAACAATATCCGATTTTTTTGTTGGGGTGGACTAGAGAGCCTTTCGTGTCACTTAGTTATTATAATTTTTAACTAGGTTTTTATTTTTTAATTGAGCATCTCAAATTAACAATTTATTTTAATATTTAATTAATTCAGAAAGAAGGTATACATCTCTAAATGAACGAGTAATACACAAGCAGGTAACATCTCTAAATGAAGTAAATATGTCCTTAAAGTTAATTATTAATACGGGCAGCAGTAACAACGCCACCGCCACCACGCCTTCAGTGGAAATCCTCAATTGTAGGCTCTTGCACGAAAAGTGCAGCAACTCAAGTCTCGGCTCAATAATGAGCCTGGAACAATGAGGGTAAGATCTGCTGCTACCCTCTTCACTGTCAAAATTATGCAATCCCCTATACCTTCGAAATATAAGAAGTTCGCCATCAAGCTCTATAGGGGCGAAATTGATCCCAAGAGCACTTCTCTCTGTACCACTCAAGCATGTTCATGATCGGTGCTACCGAAGAGTATATGTGCAGGATATTCTCCTCCACTTTGGAAGGAGAGGCATATGACTGACTGGTTTAACAACCTGCTCGATGAGTCCATTGACTCCTAGGGGCAGGCTGTAACACCGCCCCCAAGTATTTGTATTTCATCAAATTATGTATTGAACCCTGAGAAATGCATAAAAGCGTTTTTACGTGATTGTAAATTTTTATCATTTCTTTTACGTGAATAGTAAAATTCACGTGGGGCCCACACCGGAGGTGGGGACCGCCCGATATTATCGGGATCACACATTATATTAATCTTGGACTAGATAATATGAATATGGTGGTGAATATCCTAATTGGGCCATGGCAATGGCATATAGTTGACCGGTTGGTCAAACGGGGCCAAATTATCGGTATCGGAAATTTATCAGACAACAACCCAAAAAGGGATTTCGGAGACTTCTAAATTAAAGTTGGGGAATGCATATTGATTCTAGGGTCCAATAAGGATTGGGAACGAGTGTTATATTTTATTTGACCCGATAAAATTAAATATAATTAAAGCAGTCCGGAAAATACCACTTTCGGGGCCGAGTGTACACTTGGGGACATAAAGGGATGACCTCCCACATGAGTGGGGGCCACCCCACGGATTTGGTGCTGCAAAGGTCAAGGGGAGCCGCACATAACCTGCAGGAGCAATGAGGAATTGATTGGAAGACCAATCAATGGGAAGGTGGACCTCACCTTTGACATTATTTTGGAGAAATTCCAAAAAGGCATTCTCAATCATCAACCTAACCCTCCAGCTCGTCCAACCCATCCATCCTTGAGATAGAAGCTCTGCAAAAACCTCACAACACCCACCATTCACGGGAGCTAAGGAGGAAGAAGGAGGGGAGAAGAGAAGATAAAAGTTGACTTTGGAGAGGAAAGCTTGTGTTTGACAAGGTAATGACTACATTAATCTCATTCCTTCTTCTTCAATCCTCTTATATGATTATTCAATCATATTTCACACCCTAGAATTGTTCTACACGTTTGGAAGTGTAGAATGAGGGGTTGGAAGGTGGTTTTAAGCCCAAGAATGGACTTAGAAGCCAAAGTGACCGGTTCGCCGGAAAATAACCTTTTGGAGGTTATTTGTATTACTATGGGTTTTAGGATGATAAAACCTTGTTAGTAACTTGTCTAAGGTATTCAAGGAACTTTCACGGAGTTGAATGGGGCGCCGGAGTTCGTTGAAGTTCGCCGGAGTTTCGGCGGAGCTAAATCGGGAAGGCTAGAACTTCATAAGCGTCATTAAGGTGAGAAGACGGCTTTATGCTTTATAACTTTTGCGTGAGGCATGAGATTACCTAAAGTAATCAAGGATATGTTTTATGAAATGAGTAAAGATAACCAAGTGTTTGCTTATGCCATGATTATACATAAAACATGGTTGAAAAGCATGTTATGTAGGTTTGGTGGTTAAAAGTGTGATAACCTATTATGTGTGATGTTCCAGGGATCCAAAATGGTATTTTTGGATCAAGGACGTCAAGGAGTATATGTGTATAAAATTTCACGTTAATCGGACTCCGTTTGGGTGGTCAAACGGGCGTTGACCGACAAGTCAACTGTCATACCCGACCGGGTATTGACACATACCCGAACGGGTATTTGCTGAAAATCAGCTTTGTGGACTACTGTCTCCTGTACACGACCGAGTATAGGTTAATACTCGACCGAGTATTGGGTTATGCTCAAAACGGGCAGTTTTGAGCGGGTTAATGTGGGCCGTTCAGGTTGGACCCGCCCACGTTGGTTCCTAAGGTTGGTTATATGACTATAGGGCTAGGTTTTTTCCATAGTTGAAGGAACGAAAGGTTAGCCATATCCAGGTTAGGGTTTGGTAAGGATTTAGTTTGGGGTTGAGTATCCCCGGGACATTAAATGATCCTGAAACTCGGTTGGGGTTGAGCATCCCCGGGACTATAAATGATCCTGAAACTCGGTTGGGGTTGAGCATCCACGGGACTATAAATGATCCTGAAACTCGGTTGAGGTTGAGTATCCCCGGGACTGCAAATGATCCTGAAACTCGGTTGGGGTTGAGTATCCTCGGGACGGTAATGATCCTGAAACTCGGTTGGGGTTGAGTATCCCCGGAATGCTAAATGCTCCCAAAACTCGGTAGGATATTATGAATGTAGAATGTAGCTGGTGAGCTAGGCATTCGGGAAAAGGGTGAGAAAGGTCAGGTAAGAACTTTATCTCTAAAAGACTCTTTGAATGAAATGACCTACGGGTCGAGTATTTTACATATATATATATATATATATATATATATATATATATATATATATATATATATATATATATATATATATATATATATATATACAGTATGTATCATCGGATGAATGAGTCACATATATATATGTATCACCCTATTTTTGGGTCTCGTGTCTGAAACATTAGTTATTCTTCATATAGCCTGCTTGTCACTAGTACTTCTATGGAGTACTGACCCTCCGGGGGCCCTCACATTTTTCAGGTTGAGGCTAGAGTCCTACCATCTGCACCTTTGCCTAGGGTGATCCTTCGAGGAGGAAGACGTGGTTCGTGCTTCCATTCGTATTTTTGAAATCTATAAACTGCTCATGGATTTTTGAACAATATTTTCATTAAAACAGTTGGGGGCTTGCGTGCCCGTGTTTGCCACGTGTGGCTAAGTATCAAACATATTATTATTTCCGCATTTGTTTGATTATGATATTGATGTTGATTGTATGTGTTTACTAATCAGTTTGGCAATAGAATCAATCGGACGCCTTGTACAATTCAATAGGGATGAACTGTTGTTGTCCTTATCGGATTGTACGGCGGTTGTCTACGTGGCTCGGATGCGGTCCGGGGCGTGACAATTAAGTGGTATCAGAGCCATCGATTTCTAAACTATATAATTAACCTCTCAATATGGTTATCCTCAAAAAGTTTTGAATAAAACCATGAGCAACAGTTTTTGTACTTAAGGAACCGTTGGAAACCAAGTTATTGACCTCTTATTGTTAAGACGGTACCCTTAACAGTTTGTTGGCCATAATGTTGGACCAAGGGGTGTCTTTTGTACTAATCCGTCAATTGACATTGAAACGAGTCTAATGACTTATTCCTTATTTCTTTCAGAAATGGAGGGTGGACGCAGGATTACTAGGAGGAACCCGATGGGTCGTGCACCGGGGGCCACCGAGCACGATACACGGGCTGAATCACGGACCTCTAGGGGTA